TGATTCTTTAGATATTGAAAATTAAATAAATAACATTATGTTAATTTAAGCGTACAGAAACGTTGCTGTTGTTCCAGCAAAAATCTTATTTTCACTTTACCGAGTGCCTAGTAGGTAATTTGAGAAATGAAATAATTTTCGCAGCTTTAACGGATCACCCTAGTTAATCTGCAGATTAGCTAGGTAATGCGCACATTAACGGATTTTGAGCTTTAGCGGTAACATATATATAAAACTATATTACATACAAATAAAAACCCAACGAAGCAGGTCCTTGCAGCTAGTAATATTATAAAAAAGGAGAAATATTAAACTCGTTTAATAAAACGGATATTATTTCAAGAAGGTATTTTCATTTAAATATAATTTATCTTGAATAAAATTTTTACGCTCATTCCCGCAACGCGAGTTTATATAATTTTGTTATTATAATTTTTATTTTATAAAAATTTATATGACAATTCAATAAAATTTCTATAAGAAAATAAATTTTATATAATTAAACTATACGAATTTAATATATTGAATTTTGAATAACCAGACGACAATCAAAAACGAATTCCTTTGACAATACGTGGCGCTTTATTTTGCGAACAAACAAATGGGGGGAATGAATTGCAATCTTTCGAAATTAATGTAAAAGAAAATAGTTTTCAAAATTAAAAATAATGACAATTTAATGAAATGTATAAGTTTGGGGTTAACAAACGTTAAATTTTATAATAATTGACATCGAAAAAAATCATTTTTATTCGTTTAGAGGTCAATAAACAATTTTGTAAAAATCGCCCGAGTCTATCTATAATGCTTTTGTTTAGTTGAAAATCTTTCAGATAATGGCCTCGAGTTCACAACCAAAACATTTTAAATCTCTTATTGAAAAATTTTGTGCCATAACAGGTGAGAAAATTTTATTTTAAGTTTATTTAAAACAAAATAATAAAAAAATATCTTTCCATCTTTTTGTAAAGAAACAAAAATTCTATAAACAAGTATGCAAATGTCAGACAATAACTTTGCATTTAATTGAAGTAAAGTAATGTTTAAATTTCTATATTTGATGTTTCAAATTAAAAAGTATTTGATTGTTTCTAAAATTATTCAATGTCACTGACTCAGCATATAAATAGACAAAAAGTATACAGGATTATTTAAATCTTGAATTTCAAATGTTACAGGATCCTAGTAGGCTCTTTTATAAGATACTGTATAATGCTTATTTCATTATTTTGAATTATATATAAACATCACATAATGAATTTGGCCAACAAATATTTTTTATTTCAAATATATTTATATTTTTTGACCGTTCTTAGATGATGGATTAATGATGGTACTTTGTGTCGAAGATGATTTTTCGTTGTTAGAGTGCAGATTTGTGTTGTAAATTTTTTGGAAATGGCATAAAACTGTGTGCTGTTTGTGATTTGTGTTTGTATTTCGGTTCTCAAGAGTACTCTGTGAGAAAATTGTTTTTGCACGTAGAAAAACCAACCGGATGCGCAAGTATTGGCGATAAAAGAATAAGCTTTTTAAAATTCCGGCGACTTGGATTTAGTCTGCACGGAGCACCAAATCTGTAAACATAAAAGGTAGAATGATTTCTTATGCTTGGGGGTTGCTATTTGAAATCCCTTAGCAATGTATTTTTTTTCAAATACATTTTAGGGTTTTTCATTTCCCGGAAAATTTGCCTCCAGCAGGATTACAGGAAAAATAATTTCTTTTCCCGGGATCCTGGGAAATTCCGGGATGAGATAGTAAAATAGAATTTTATATGAATAAAAAAGATCATACAGGAATATTTGAATAATTTAATTTATTTTCTAGTTAGTAACTAAAAGTGTAGGGCCAATCTCACCCATACGGACACGTTAGGCTCAATTAACTTATGTTCTCCTACATTATAAGATGAAAGTAAAATAAAGCGTTTCATTGGGAGTTTTAATGATTACGAAAAAAAAAATACTATTTTACTTCTAAAGATGAAATAAAAAATAAACTAAAGTGTGATGAGTGATATTTACTTTCAGCAAGTCTCCGTTGTTCAATGATGCGCAAACACAATACATGGATATTACATGAACTAACAAGTAGAGACTTGTAAAACATAGGTAGTAATATGCAGCAAGAAACCTCAAAATTTCTCTCTTAGGTGAGTCTTCAAGATGCAACTTTTCGTATAATAAATAATAGAAAGAAAACCTGACATGATAAATTATTATTGAAATGCGAGATTTCCCGGGAAAATAAAATTTCCCTGGATTTTTCTCATAGGGAATAAACGGCGAGAATCCCGGGAAAGAAACCCTAATACATTTTCTTTCAATTTTCATTTATTTTTGATTGATGATTCTGTTGTTTATTTTATTTTATTTTGACTATAATGTTTAAATTTGGTAAATGTTTATATATCCTAGTGGTTTAAATTTTACCAATGTTTTGTGATTTAAAGTTTTATTCCTTTTTTTTTTATTTTAGGTTCATTTCATTGTTCTTTTGATGTTCATTTAAGAACAACCCAATGAAGGCAGTGGCATACCGTGGGTGTCAGCCGCCTGGGGCGGAGGAAAATTTCGGCCCCCTATTTAGGTATTTCAATTTAAAAGACCAAAATTCAGTTTGACAGAACAAGCAATGAAAAATTCGGTGGTAGTGCAGTGACCTGTTTAAAATAATTCTATTGGATATTAGTGGTGTATATGAACACGAATGAATCGTACAAGCAAGAAGAAAAAAAAAAGGTCAACAGGTTTTGCGGGATTTCCTCGGATGAAAATATTACTAGTTCACCAGGACGTCAAGCTGATTCCTGGACTGTCCGGATGATAGCACTATCGTAGGCGCGATGAAAGTATAGTTTAGGATGTTTCAAATTTTTACAAGATATTATTATTATTTATTGTGAAATTTTGCCACCCCTTAAAGGTAATTTTGCCGCCCCCTAAAAAGTGCCACCCATGGCGGGCCACCCATGCCGCCCCCACTACGGTACGCCACTGAATGAAGGTCTTTTGTCCATATTTAAATATGGAAAAAATGTATGTTCTGAATAAATCTAAGTTGCAGGAATTTCAAAGATGTAGCTTATTTTATTGCTATTAATGCTTTTTATGTGTAACATGAAATTTCTAGTTTGTGATATATTTAATGTACTTTACTAATATACAAGAATTACAGGTTTGAAATATGTTCTGGATCACTTCCAGATTTATTTAAATTAAAATAATTTTAATTATTAGCCTATTGATTTAAAATTCTGTTTGCTTGAATTTTAAATATTTTATAATTTGTAACAAAATTCATATCTTAAATTTTTTCCATATCATTGTTACTAGAAGTAAACACGTTATCATTTGTTTTATGATGCAATTTATAATTAGATAATTAAATACATATCTACATTAACAGTTGGCTTTGAAAATGTATCTGCAATTTGTTACATATATAACTGACTGCTATCATAGTCCCAATAATAGGAATTTTTATTTTGACATTCAATCTTATATATTATTTATAATAATTCTGTTAAAATTATATATTTGAGTATTTTTTTTATAATTATGATAAAAATCTAGAAAAGTAACAAAAAAATTAGATAAAATAGAATGTTTAATACTTTTACAATTTAAACAAGACAAACTCATGTGAAATATATAAAAAAGTATTTCAGGTGAGTTAGTCATTCTATAATTTGTAATTATTATTAAAAACATTTAATGCTTTTAATAAACAATTGAATAAATAGAAAAGAGATGAAAGAGGTGATTAGATGAAAATAAGACAGTTCAAAAAATTATATGAATTCATGGTGCACTAAGAATAATTGATGATAAATGTCAGAGATCTATAGTGAAAAGCTCCTATTAGAGCCTCTAGTGAGATAAAAATTTATTTGAATCTAAATTTCCTGAATGTTGTGAATATGTCAGACTTAATGTATTGTATTTCTTGAGTTCTGTGGCACAGAATTCTAAGATGCTTTGTAAAATTTGAAGTTGAATTTTTAAGATTTTTGTACAGAAGAAAAAAGTTTTAAATAATTTTTTAAGTTTTTTTGTTTTGTAAAGAGAGGTTAAAAACAACACAAATGCCTTGAAACAGATAAAGCTTGCTTTTCTAATGCAACATTTTTATATAATTTGTCAAAAAGATCTTTTTCTATCATGCTATCTTTTGATGGAGAGGGTTTAGAATGTACAGGTATTATTATTATTTAATTTTTCAGGTATATATTATAGGGACAGTAATCAAATATTTTTAAAGCTATTTAAAAATTGGATAAATAAATAAAATGTCATCAGGCATTTTAAATGCTAAAAAGCAGTTTAAATTAAATGCACATCAGGTAAATCTGTTTGAACTGATGTGAACATTGAGGAATGTGTGTTAGACTGTCTTATTGATATGTAATGCACCATGTGGTCTACTTGTGATGACTATTGATTTTTTCAACTGCAAATATAAGATACCATCAGATCTAAGATATGCCTCTATTTTGAACATGTAAAAAAAAAAGATATATCTAATATATTGAGATAGAACTGAAGAAGTACAGTAATTTTATTTATATAATTTTGCTTGCTTATTACAAAAATCAATTTTTATTAAAAACAAAAAAAAAGTACTACTATATTACTAGGACACATTAACATCTAATTATAGAACCTCTCAGCAATCAGTAAAATGCAGAAGATGAAACAAACATTTTTGGAATCCACATGATTCCAGTTTTAAGTTGAAATAGTTCATTTCTAATTGGAATGCACTGAATAGAAACAAACTATTTCAACCTGAAGCTGGAATTGGGTGGATTCCATAAACATTTGTTTCGTCTTTTATGTTTTACTGGATGTTAAAAAGGTTCTGTGATTAGATGTCAATTTTTATTGTTGTACTCTTAAAACAGTGTGTTTTTTTTAGATGTAATCTCATCAAAGTTTGAAAATTATGACTTGCAAATATTAAGTCTGTGGTTTTTTGGAGTTAATTTTATAGAAATTCTATCCATATTTGAGGTGGAGTGTTATTGAGGCCTTTTCTATATGATTTTTGTATTGCATTCAATCTCAATATTTGATTGATTGATTTGATAAAGTTTTATCATTTTCCATTTATTGCATTGAGAAATCCAAAACATAAAACATGGGGTGCATGACTTTGTTTTCAAGATACAAGAATGTAACACAAAAGTGCATGACAAAACAATAATACATGAATTGCATGACTTTGTCACGTGATGTCCCAAGGTCACTAGCAAGTCTTCTATAAGCTTATAGAATTGAGTTTGTTCTCAAAATTTGATGGGCTTGATGAAACTTTGCCATTTTGCATTAATTGAGATGAGGAATCAAAAAATGTAATGAGGGTCAATTTAAATGTAAAAATTAGGGGTCCGTGACTTTCTTTTTATTATGCAGTGGAGTCAAAATGAAATGTCCATGTTCCCTGACACAATTGAATGTGCTTAATGGAATTTAGAGGAGAAAAATAAAACTTGGCATTGCATGCACCTAACAGAAAATAGTCATGAAAAACAAACAAAACATAAGAATACAGCAATCAATTGTGATTGCTTGCTGTATTCTTATGTTTTGTTTGTTTTTCACAGGCAAACTTTGCACTTGCCACCACAAAAGAGGCTATCCTCATATCCCCTTATGTGGCTATAGCATTTTGCACTAAGGCAAACTTAAATATGGCACCTTTTGGATTAGTCTGTTAGAAATTTAAAAATTATAAAATGACTAATGAAAGGCTTATCCAAAAGGTGCCATATTTAAGTTTGCCTTAGTGCAAAATGCTATAGCCACAAGGGGATATGAGGATAGCCTCTTTTGTGGTGGCAAGTGAAAAGTTTGCCTGTCTGTGACTGCCAGGAACAAAGATTACCTCTTCTA